GTAAAAGTGTCAAACATTCTATACTTTATAATGAATGTTAAAATCGGGTTTATACATCATATGTGAATAAACATCACCGGAAGTGTATTCAACAAATGAATTATTCTTAAATATGTAACATAGCCCATAAGAATATTGAATGTATGAGGATATGTGCTTAAATTTAATTTATAATGAGCAGTCCGGAAAGGAATAATAAAATATGTTCAAGGAATTTACTGAAATGTATTGTACAGTGTAAGCTATTCTTCTGAAATTGAAGAAATAATGTGTCGTTTTCTCCTACCTTTCAATCTCCCAATGTAGCATAGGCCCTCAACCAACTCATGCCATGTTGTTTTAAGGGATCGTACTGTAACTAAATATACAAGAAATTCATTTGAACTGGGTGTATAAGGTAATTTATTGAAAATTAATGTATACGAGTTCTAACGACACTGAATGTATGAGGAATTTTACTGAAATTGAGTGTATAAGGAATTGTACTAATGAGCCATATAGCTGTTACACATAGCATATTCACACCATTGACTCTTGATAAAAATAATTTAATGAGTCTTTCATACAGTTAATCTCACAATCCCATTCTTTGTTGCTTGCAGTGGAATTTAAATAACTTGGAATGATTGAGCCAAACACTAAACAACCATTTAGTATAACAACAATCTATTTTGAATGGAATGATCTAGACGCACACAGACTACGCATGAATTACGTAATTTATGTAAGAGACAAAAAACTATAGAAAAGGCTATAAATTCGTTAACTGCTGTTGCTAGGAGACACACAGAGGTAAATACAACATACTGAATTAAACCTATTTGGGAAAAGGGGAAAAACGTGACTTGGACAAGAAGCTAAGAGAAAGGAAGGTAATATGAATACATATTTGGAAAAACAAAGAAAAAACCTGGTTGATAGAGAAGAAAGCGAGAAATCAAAGAAGGTTATTTATATTTTCATTTTCAAAACAATTGGGGAAAAAACGCATTCGACAAAATCTATGACAAGGGTAGTTAAACGACATTTCTATTTAGAAAACAGTAAGATAGACAATGCCAATTATAACATAAAATGTGATTAGAAAGCTCAACAAAGGGGATGAAAAAGACGCATTCAAACACAAAACTGTTTCGGCCAAAGGCTTTACCAACGAAGAACTACATGAAGCACAAACTGTGACTCGAGATTTTAATAAAAACCTCGTAGGAAACAGGCAGTATATTGGCAAATCACAAACTGAGTCACACCGGGAAATACAGTAAATATCTTAATACGTATAATTTCTTTTAATACTGATGAATAACAGTTACTGGGTCGTAACAAGGAATGACAATAGAAAAACAAACATGCAAAGGATTTATTCACGGAGGTGATGATAATGATGGTTGTAGGAAAGATATGATGATTTTTATGCTGCCGATGATTGTGGTAATGATAGTGGCGTTCATGATGATAACGATGATGAGAAAGCTGTCGAAGATGTTGCTGACGACAATAACCATTAGGTTAATGATGTACATAATAATAATTATGATGATAATAGCAATGACGATGCGTCATAATAATTACTCCACATAGTAATAAGGCATCAACTGTGAAAGCATATAGTTCGCTCTTTCAACCATAATTAAATATCTCTATCAATCGATCTCACGTTTGCCTTTCTTTTCTCTCTCTCTCTCTCTCTCTATATATATATATATATATATATATATATATATATATATATATATATATATATATATATATATATATCCCTCTCTTTCACTATTTAACTATTTCCTTACTTTTCATTTTCTTTTTATAGATATAGCTATCCATATCTTTGCTATTGTTCGTTTCTCTCGTTCTCATTTTAATTCTCTCTTTATCTCTCTCTCTCTCTCACTTACACACACACACACACACACACACACACACACACACACAGCAATAAGCAATAAAGCAGTTTGGACGGCAATCTGATCACATTACATTTACAGGCAAATTTTAAATAAAATCTCCACTAAGTACAAATTTAAAAAAAAAAAACACATATCTGACTCATTTAAGAATCGACGTCATAGAACACCGGCATATTGCTAACCACATCATCCAACTTGTGGCGTTTGGTCTATAAAAATATAGGACTACCCCTATGTGCTCTAAAGGCGTAGAAAAGGGTTATCCACTTGACTCAATAAAGGGTGGCCGACGTGATACTTACCACACGACGCACCAAGTGCCGACTGGTCTATAAAATATAGCTCAAGCCCTATATTCCCAATACGACTAAAGGCGTGAAAATGTGTCCCTTACTTTACTTCCTTTAAGACAGTGGTTCTCAAACTTCCTAATGTTGCGACCCTTCAATGCAGTTCCTCATGTTGTGGCGACCCCCAACCATACAATTAATTGTGTCTCTACTTCATAACTTCAATTTGTTTTGAGGTGGTCTTTGCCGACGCCTGTGAAAGTGCCGTTCGACACCAAAAGGGAGGCAACCCGCAGTTTGAGAGCCAGTGCTCTAAGAGGATTTGAGCCCAAATCACTAGGTCGTAAGCCAATGCCGCTAGATAATGGGCTACCACGACTGCCTGCTACTAAATACAAAAATACAGATAACAACAAATAAGCATTGCAACATATCAAAGCTGGTATTTATAAGTAAATGCGATTGACTTGCACACAGACATCACGTTTCATGATAGGCACAGATAATGTGTTGTTACGCAATGAATTAATGACGAGATGTTGTAACATAATAATTGGATGTAAACATCTATATCTATTTTAGTGTTGCTGTCAGGCTAAAATGACATAGTGTGGTCATTATTGGAAAATCTCTCTCTCTCTCTCTCTCTCTCTCTCTCTCTCTCTCTTATTCTCTGACGAACACAAGCGCAGTCGTTATTCTCTCTTTCTTTCGTATTATCTCTTCCACACACACACACTTTCTCTCCTTCTCTCCTACATTCTCTCATACATCATCTGACTGTTTCTCTCATTATCTCTCTAAGTATTTCACATTGTCACGTACTCTCTCGTTCTTTCACAAACTCTAGCGCAGTCTGTTTCATTTTCTCTTTCTTTCTTATTCTTTCTTTCACATACACTCTTCTTATCTCTTTCTCTCCTACTTTTCCTCCTTTCACTAATTACTTCTCCAATTTCTCTCTCTCTCTCTCTCTCTCTCTCTCTCTCTCTCTCTCTCTCTCTCTCTCTCTCTTTCTCTCGCTCTCACTCTTCAACAGTTTCCAGTTCTTTGTCTCTATATAAATCTCTGTTTAATTTGCTATCTATGCTTTTTTATAACTTTGTGTTCATATAATGTATATTTAAATGACTATAATTAATGCTATGTAGATAATATACAATTGTGTGAAATATGGTCTTTGGAAGGGCTGAATGTAGGACGCGTCTGTGGGGGCCCTATCTGTTCCTCTTTAACAATAAAGTGAGTTCATTCCGTCTCAGCCGTCCCCACTCTTCCCTACCACAGACAGTACATGTCTTATCGCCATAACATACAACATCTTTTTACATTCACTCGCATTATAAGTTCTGACTTGTTCAGTCATCGTTAGATATTTTATTAAAGTAACTTCTTTTTCACACCCCTTCTACCCTTCATATGGTGTAGAGCCAAGTCACATCTTCCAATCATGGAAAATTTTACATAAATAATCACAAAGAGTCAACATACAACCACATATATTATGAAAGATGGGCGGTATTTAATCACGTTTCAATAACTTATCCGGACTTCCTTTCTTTTCTTTTTTTTTTTCACCACCTTCCTCTTTTGCCTCAGTCCTTAAAAGCGATCCGTTGGGTAGTGGTTTACAGCTAAGCAGTGATATAAAGGCCTTTTGGCTCAACACATCCGATTTTCACCAATACCTAATTAGTCGATTGTTACGACGCGCTTTTTGAGTGGTAATGGGTCTTCTTTTTTTTTTTTCCCTAGTGTAATTTTAACAGGGAGATGATGGGGTTTTCCTCCCTCTTCTCCTCCTCCTTCTCCTCTTCCTTCTTCTCCTCTTCCTCTTTTTCCTCCTCCTTCTTCTCCTCCTCCTTCTTCTCCTCCTCCTCCTCCTTCTTCTGTCTGCTTCTATTTCTTCTTATTATTAGTATTAATATTATTATTTTTGTTATTATTAGTATTATTATTTGACTTCAGGGCTGTTAACTGGGGCGGAAGGTTCTGCTTGTTCGCCCACTTTTGGACTTTGGTCTTCATGCAGAACCTGAGTTTTGTGTGCACTTTCGTTTTACAGATATAGTTTAAGGTAATCTTTGTTCCATGCCTGTCAAGCAGATGCACTCCAACTTTGAAGGAACCACACCCTAATTAGTCGCTTTGACGTTATCATTGTTAATGAAGGGGTGTAGGTATACTCCCCCCCCCCCCCCCCCCATCCACATATCAGAAATGGGGTCTGAAATCCAGACGGGAAGATTTTGTTCACATGATTGACTGATTCCGATATATTATCAATACAAAATATAAAGGTAATTAATTCAAGCGAGAGACATCATTCTAGATGTATGACTTAGAGACATTTCAGTCATGATTGAGAACTACATTAATCGTGGCTGGATAGTGGTATTCTCTTCTGAAGATTACAGACTCAGTAAGACCGAAGAGTAAGTAGTGAGCTGTGGTGACATGATATGGAAACTATGACATAATGAGTGAAAATGCTTCATTAAAAATATTGTATTATTCAACAAGAAAATCGCAACAATTGGCTTGTCAAAGCATTTAGAGTTAAGTCTTTTGCGACAAGGCAGCTCTGCTGGAATAGTATATTGATTAGCTTCACTTAGTGTGCGAGTCTGACAATCACTTTAGAGCACAAGCCACATCCATCCACCAGACTGTCCATCAGAAATATGAGGCGACCAGGGACAAGCACAGATAGCAGCGAAGACAGGGATTAGTCTCTTTGTTTACACAAGTTCTTAAGGCGGAAGCTCATTGAAGAGTTATCGTTCGTTGAGTCTTGTAAAGTTCATCGAGAGAAGAAGCGTCTGATGATGTTGACTTTCTTCTTGCGGAACTTGAGAGCGGAGAAAACGACGTGTTCGAAGACTTCCTTTAAACCATCCTTTCTTTTGGCGGAACATTCGATGTAACAGTCTGCGCCAATGGCCTTTGCCATGGCTTCTCCTTCTTCTGTAGAAACCTCTCCTTCGTTGCCATTTCGCATGTCTATTTGAGTCCCCACGAGAATAACAGGTCGTCTCCGTTTTGTGTGTCGTTTGATTTCGGGAATCCAGGAGTTGCAGACGCTGGAAAATGAGTCTCTGTCAATGACAGAGAAACACAGGACAAGAACTTCACTCTCTTTATACGTATACGCCCTCAAGTCTTCAAAGTCACTCTGTGGATGCAAAAGATTTGTTTCATTAATGGTAAGAACGACTAAATGTATAGCAAACGTATACTAATGTAGGATTAAATTTGCTCCTATTCATTCGCATTTTCAGAAGTAAAGCAAGCGTATGAAATAAGTGTATAAAAAAAGTTATGGGAAATTAGGCGCAATGTTAAGTTGCCGGCGACTCCCGGGTCAATATTGTGAAAAATAGAAGGAGACAAACGGGGATTGACGGAGACGGTCGGAGATGGACGGAAGCAAACGGAGATTGGCGAAGAAGACTGGAGATAAACGAGGACAAAAAGAGACTGGCGGAGACAGCCGGAGACAATCGAAGATAAAAGGAGATTGACTGAGACAAATGAAGACAAAGAAACCGCAGTAGATCTCCCATCTGTCCCATTAAGAAATGAAAACGACCGTTAAATCTAGATATAATTCAGCCGTTAAAACCTCAAATCATGTTGCTGTCATTAAATGATAAGTTATTTCAGGAAAGATTTCGCGTGCAAGCAAAATCTCGGTCAGTAGATAAGATTACACAGTTCCCCGGGTCTTTTCACCCAAATGTGATCAATCATAGTTATCAACTATCAACAGGATAAGAGAATTAATCAGCATTATTCTTAGTTCCTGGTAGCATACGATCTGAAAATGAAAAGCATTTTCATTTAAATCGTTTTTGTGGCATTTACTAGCAGCACGCCACTTACTTTTTCCTTCCACGTATGCCGCTAAGCACGCCACTGGTGGTGATATATTACAGTTTAATTTTGAGAATCCTGTTCGTTCATTTCCTAATGTTATCCCTCCATTTACAACACTTTTCACTTCTCATCAGTCTTCCACTTTTCTGTCGAATATTGTTTTAAAAAAAAAAAAAAAAGTAATATGTCTTTTAATATGACCTAAACATTTTACATGTCTCGTTTTCTTTCCTTCTTTCCCTCTTTATTTCTCTTTATATCAAACTGCGATACCTACGCTTTTCGGCCTAAACATACGATGTCATCAATCCTGTAATTAGTCGCTTTTTACGACATGCTTGTTTAAATGACAGTATGTCCGTTTATCAGCAACTAGGGCAACTAATTACATTTCTATACAAGATAACGTCAAGTAAAATTAGAACGAAACGGCATTCATTTTACAACTCCCTGGGACACTCATCTCGTGAGCTATAATTTCAATCCAGTAACCCGTGTTCAAACTCGTGAAATGTTTTCTCAAATGATTGATCAGGCTTAGCAAACAGCAGACGCGTCCAATAATTTTTAGCTGCAGCAGCGCAATTTCAAAAAAACAATACTGCAATTCACCAAAAGGTCAGAAATCTGGGTTTATGGGTTGTTGCCAAATTGCAGTCTATCGTGTGGATTTCATAAAGTCAGCCCGTGAAAGGAGATGCTACATTAGGGAATAAAATGTGGGCAGGGAAAACTGAAGGCTCAGATATTCAAATGCCCCCGGCCACACAAACACAAAAAAAAAAAAATATTTTAGGGGCTAAGGACCCCTTCCCACTCCTCCACTTTTTATCATGATCCTTCTATCACAAATTTGCAAGGAAACTAAATGCATTCCTGATTATAAATAGACCTTGTTGCTATAAGTATTCGTCTATTGATTTCTTATTTATAATATACAAGTTTTATTTGCCATTCCTCACACAAGTAGTAATAGTAGTAGTAGCAGCAGCAGTAGTAGTAGTGATAGTAGTAGTAGTGGTTGTGGTAGTAGTGGTTGTGGTGGTGGTGGTGGTAGTAGTAGTAGTAGTAGTAATAGTAGTGGTAGTGGTGGTAGTAGTAGTAGTAGTAGTAGTAGTAGTAGTAGTAGTAGTAGTAGTAGTAGAAGCAGCAGCAGCAGCAGCATCAGTAGTAGTAGTAGTTGTTGTAATAGTAGTAGTAGTAGTAGTAGTAGTAGTAGTAGTAGTAGTAGTAGTAGTAGTAGTAATAGTAATAGTGATAGTAGTAGTAGTAGTAGTAGTAGTAGTAGTAGTAGTAGTAGTAGTAGTAGTAGTAGTAGTAGTAGTAGTAGTAGTAGTAGTAGTAGTAGTAGTAGTAGTAGTAGTAGTAGTAGTAGTAGTAGTAGTAGTAGTAGTAGTAGTAGTAGTATTGCTCAAGACTTAAGCCCTTATACAATTACAAGCATAAGGGTTCTTGTAAATCAATGTGGTCTTTGTGTCAGATTTCCTGGCATTATCGTGGTCACATGTAATGCTGGTGGTTATCTAAGGAGAGCAGTATTTTAAATAAATGAAAATGTTTACCAAACAAATTGCTGTAGTCCTGTATCCGCTGTAGTGCCCCAACCCCAACCAACCATCACCACCAGTATGTTTAGTGCCCCAACCCCAACCAACCATCACCACCAGTATGTTTAGTGCCCCAACCCCAACCAACCATCACCACCAGTATGTTTAGTGCCCCAACCCCAACCAACCATCACCACCAGTATGTTTAGTGCCCCAACCCCAACCAACCATCACCACCAGTATGTTTAGTGCCCCAACCCCAACCAACCATCACCACCAGTATGTTTAGTGCCCCAACCCCAACCAACCATCACCACCAGTATGTTTAGTGCCCCAACCCCAAGCAACCATCACCACCAGTATGTTTAGTGCCCCGATAATTTTAGCGTGTAACCAGCTCAGTCCCTCCTTCTTCCTTGCATGTTTTATAACAAGGTCTTACAGTAAGACTAGGCGTGGTATCAGTTCAGATGCTTATTCGTTTCGTTTTCTCTTTTTAATAAGACTGACAAACGATCCGTTAATTAACATAAACAAACGACAGTCTGCTTACCTGGCCAGCAGTATCAAAAAGACTGATGATAAAATCCTGGCCACCAACGTGTAAAGGCACTGAAACAAAAGCAATTCAAAATTATTGGTATACCAAACAGATCAAATTGTATTCTTTTTTGCACTCAATATCTTCTTCTTCTTCTTCTTCTTCTTCTTCTTCTTCTTCTTCTTCTTCTTCTTCTTCTTCTTCTTCTTCTTCTTCTTCTTCTTCTTCTTTTTCTTCTTCTTCTTCTCCTCTTATTTTGGTCTCCAGACTGGACCCCTGGAACCAACACGAGGAGGCCTTTAACACGTATCCCGATCATGACTTTGTGACCCTCTCTGTTATCTAACGTTAGCTGCGTATCCTTTACAGGACGTTGCAGAACCAACCCCAACAGCCCCTGGCCGTTGTGTGGTTGTTCTAGGAAGATTTACGTCCAGTAGTTTGCCATTGCTCCTGGACGGTCGGCTTTCTTGATATCACTGTCAAACCCAACGCAAGGCGCATGGCCAACAGCTGGGATCGAACCCGGTATCCCGGCGTTAAGTAGCGTTCTCATCGACTTGGCCACAGAGCCGACAAAAGTAGTTTTTTGGTTCCCCTCTGTTATTTAGTCACCATAATAAGGATGTCGCTGCTTATATTACTGAAAGATACAAACAATATATTTCACAATTGGCAGTTGGCATATTTCTCTGTTTCTCTTAACCAGAGAATTTATACGGAAAATAATGAACAGCAAAATAAATCCTTTCGACTGAAACAGATACATCACAGAATTCAGTGTTTCCGAAACTTTTCTTAGTGGAGGCGGCTTTTTTTTAATTCAAATTGTTTCACGGCTCCCTATCCTAAGTAAATGTATGACTATTTGTTTACAAAAGATTTTTAAAAAAAAAAACAACTCGTGTATCTACGAATATTTCGTGGCGCCCCTGTGAAGAGGTCGCGGCTCCGCGGGGCGCCACGCTGTTCAGTTTGGGAATCACTGACATAATCTATTGCTTCGTTGTGTCCATCTTATGCAATTTATATTGTTTGTGTTTTCATTATTTAAAAGTTATGTACTGCTGCGTGACCCGCCGGTGTGTGGCAACTAAATACTCGCCTGCGAATCAGAAAGTTGTTGGTTCAAATTCGACTACAACCGACAACGACGATTTTTTTTTCTAATGACCTTTATTTCCTTGTCGGTCAAGCTTTAAATGGGTACCAGGTAAAGTTCTGGGAAGTAAATGCGGCGGGCGTGATGTTGACCACAACGCATACCCAGTGCCAATTTGTCTGTAACACATAGGTCCAGCAGGATATGCCCAATGTGCCTGAGAGCCTGAGAAAAGATCCTGTATGTGAGAGGGGCCATAATGTAGCGGCTAGATGCTGTCTAGAGTTTAAATCCGCATCGAAGCTCGCCCGTTGGTCTGAAGGTCGTATGTTCAAAACCGAACACAGCTTGACTTTTTTTTTTTTTTTTTTTTAAATTGACTTTGGCTTCGAGGTTGACCCGACCTAAAATGGGTGTCAGATAATGTCATAGGAAGTAAAGTGTTAGCTGGTATATAAAAATCTAGGTCTAAAACGTTATGCCCGATGATCCAAAGATGTTCCAAAAATATGTGAAAACGAAAGCAAGAAAGACCTGTAAAGTAAGTAGGTCATTGCCAAAACTACCAATTGCTGCCTTTATTTGACCACTTTTGCGGTATAGACGAGGGGGGGGGGGGTCAAGCCTGAGGACTTACGGCCGCATGGCTAGTGATGTCGCCACGACAGGAAAAATCCCCAGCCTTTCCGAGGATTCGAACCTGCGTCTCCTGCTTGAAAGCCCAACGTTCTAACCGTTTGGCTTGCCGCTCCTCAAACAGGCCATCACTTTTAACAATTCTTCCTCCTCTTTTCTCTCTTCTTCACCTGCTGTAAAGTCCTGGTTGTTCGTCCACTTCTAGACTTTGGTCATGTTCCAGAACTTGAGTTTTATGCTTGCATCCGTTTTACAGATGTGGGTTATGTATATGCAGCTTGTTGGTTTTTCGCCTCTCAGGCAGATTACCCCCCTCCCCCCACTTCGAAGAAGCTTAATCTAATTAGAAGCCTTGTACGACATGCTTGTGAAGGAGACACTATGTCTATTCTTTATTTGTCCCTCCAGAATGGATACACTGAACTGAAATGAGGAATACTTGAATATTCTCGATAATACTGAACACTGGTCGATTTTATTATGATACTTAGACGAAAGGCATAACACAGACCATACTCTGATAAACATTATTGTATCATACACAATACGTTGTTTGTGACATAACCATGTGTACTTACCAGGGTAGTTATCAAACACTGTCGCTGTGTAAGTATCCGTAAACGATTTTTGAGTATAAGATAAGGTCAGGCACGTTTTACCCACCATCCCATCCCCTAACATGGCACAATGAACATGCTTATCTGTAACTTCAGCCATCTTCATGATAATCTCGGGGATTGCTCACAACAGTTCAAATAAATAATATATAAACAAGCGCAAGAGTTCAATGAATGGGCTAAGCTTAAAAGAGCTCAAAAGAACGTAAAAATTCTGTAAGATCAGCCAACGCTGTCTACAAGATCCGTCATAAAACCTGGCCTTATATAGGAATTTGAGGAAAGAAGAAAAACTAATTCCGACCAATGAAATTTGGCGGAGGAGAGAAGTTCATTGAAGGAATCGATGGCGTTGTAGAGACGAGAGACCGGTGGCAGGTATTCCGTGTTGTGGAGCGATGTTCTGGCATTGTTCAGTTTTTACTTACTGTCTGGCAAACTGGGTCTCCGAATCGTTTGTTCAGCCAAAAAAGCTAAGCGTTTTTCAGCGTAGCCGGCAGTGCTAATAGTCATCAGAAGATGGAGAATGAGAAGCAATAATGAGATTCATAATCCTTTGAAATCATCGGCCATTACTGTGTCATGTTATGCTATTATAGTCCACGTCACCGTACTCTAGACATCCAATTCGTGCTCAGTCTTTCGATGCATCAAAAACACAAAGGCATGTGTACTGATTGCTACTAGGATGATTGGCGCCATTCCGTCGTTCCAGACGATAGTGTTATATTTCGCTATGAGGAGACCTGGGACTCACAGTCCATGGCGATGTCGAGTGTGACTAGCAAAACCCGGCCGCGTTAAGAAAAGTCTTCCACGATTATAGCAGGAATTTCAGGACTACTGTTGCCAAATTTGCATTTACTCTGTTTGTTTTCAGACCCTCAGCTCTTATACTTTCTGCAATTAGTTCTTCTTTCATCCTCATTTCATTCTTATGTGCCCCTCCACACAACAGTGTCAATGGCATTTTGTTGCCACGAATGCACCTCAATATGTGCATCTTTCATGTCCCGCTTGCACACATTTTTTTAACGTACTAGATGTCGGCGTCTACATCTTCTACCCATCTTTAATTCACCATAGAGGGTGTCCTTAGGGATTCTGCCATCGTCAATTGTCGCGGTGTGACCCAGCCACCTGAGCCTTCGTAGACTGAGCATTGAAGGCAGCGTCTCTTTCCAATACCTCAGCATTATAATCCAGCTCCAAAGAGGAGCAGTATATAATGTCTCCTATCTGAACGGCGGCATAGACGTGCTTTGCCCTGCTTTACTCCTATGCCACGATATTGTGTAAATGTAACAGGGATTGACTAAGGCGGATGATATCTGCAGCAGAGAACCCCAGTTGTCGGGCTGTTGAAGCAGAAGAAGAAGAAGGAAGATTTGTAGTAGTAGTAGTGGTTGTAATAGTAGTAGTAGTAGTAGTAGTAGTAGTAGTAGTAGTAGTAGTAGTAGTAGTAGTAGTAGTAGTAGTAGTAGTAGTAGTAGTAGTAGTAGTAATAGTAGTAGTGGTGGTGGTGGTGGTAGTAGTAGTAGTAGTAGTTAGTAGTTAGTAGTAATATCTGCAGCAGCAACAGTAAAATCAGCAGCAGCAGTAGTAGTAGTAGTAATAGTAGTAGTAGTAGTAGTAGTAGTAGTAGTAGTAGTAGTAGTAGTAGTAGTAGTAGTAGTAGTAGTAGTAGTAGTAGTAGAGGTAGTAGTAGTAGTAGTAGTAGTAGGTAGTAGAACTAGTAGTAGTAGTTGTAGTAGATTAGTAGTAGTAGTAGTAGTAGTAGTAGTAGTAGTAGTAGTAGTAGTAGTAGTAGTAGTAGTAGTAGTAGTAGTAGATTAGTAGTAGTAGTAGTAGTAGTAGATTAGTAGTAGTAGTAGTAGTAGTAGTAGTAGTAGTAGTAGTGGTGGTGGTGGTGGTGGTGGTGGTGGTAGTAGTAGTAGTGGTGGTTGTGGTGTTAGTAGTAGTAGTAGTAGTTAGTAGTTAGTAGTTGTTGTTAGTAGTAAGTAGTAGTAGCCGCAGCAGCAACAGTAAAAGCAGCAGCAGCAGCAGCAGCAGCAGTAGTAGTAGTAGTAGTAGTAGTAGTAGTAGTAGTAGTAGTAGTAGTAGTAGTAGTAGTAGTAGTAGTAGTAGTAGTAGAAGTAGTATTAGTAGTAGTAGTAGTAGTACGAAAGAACGAACGAACGAACTTTGTTTTTAAAGGGTCAATTATTGGGCACGCAGGCCCGTCTAACATTCTGCCCTTCGAAGTCTCCATTCTTACATCGCATAACCCACCATTTACCGATTGGTCTAGAAAAATATAGATCAAGCCCTATTTGTCCAACACGCCTAAGGGCGTGGAAAAGGGACCTTCACCGTACTATGGCAGTGGTCTCCAACTAAGTGATGAAGTTTCAAAAAAGGTGGATGGGGGAGGGGATGGCGTCAAACAATTTAAAGTTATATGATAAATATCAAGCTGACTGACTGACTGACTTTCTACCCCACCAGGACATCACACAAGCGATAAACACCTGATGACACGATGTGCCACCATGTGGGTGAGGAACACCGTGGAGAGGTCCCAGAAACCGCGTTCAGCCCATATTTATGGTCTGGCTATATTGCGGCCCCTGGCAAGAGCCAGAGTAGGACTTCAGATAATGAAAAATTCGTCCTAAAATGGACGAGAAGTACATACGTGGACAAAACAGTGTCAACTATCACAGTGGTTTGTAGACATTGAACTACCATTCGTTGGTGGTTGATTCGTTTGTTATGTAACACAGTAATGTATGTGAAGGGTTTTCTCCAAGTTCTCGTTAACAGCTCGTGGGATTTTTATTTGTGTCCTTTTCTTTTTTATCACATTTAGTTAACTTGTTGGGGGGGGGGGGGGTCTTGCCATAAACTCAAGAAGAGCGCAACCTGCTAAATATTGGATACCTATGTCCTATTGGTTCGTTCTTATCTAAGTCGGCTCTGTGGCTAAGTCGATGCGAACGCTTCGTAATGCCGGTATGCCGGTTTCGATTCCAGCTGCAGGCCATGCGCCTTGCGTTGGTTTCGACAATGGTATCAAGAAAGCCGACCGTCCAGGAAGCAATGGCAAACTACTTGACGTAAATTTGCATAGAAAAACCACACAATAGCCAGGGGCTGTTGGGGTTGGTTCTGCTACGTCCTGTAAGGGATACGCAACAACCTCCTATCTAAACTGTGGTCTTCATTTTTTCGTTATTTTGTTGTGCTCCTATCTTATTTGCAGTTCTATCCCTTGCTATCTGTCTCTCTGTGTCAGTTATTACTAACTCTTTTTGTCAGAAGGCTAAACAGTTTAACCTAATATTTTCTTGACTGCGCAGTCGATAAGAGGCTTGCCTTCAAATCCAGCTGCGACTTACTGTAGCCCACGGTCGGTGTTCGAAACCGGACGGTTTCCAGGGTTCACCCAGCCTATAGGAAATTACTACCAGAGTTGACACTTTGGGGTAAATTAAGGAACGTCGCTGTAGCTGCAGAGTTACATGCGGACGGCGACTCAGGCGGACAATTCTTATCAGCTGTCTGTACTTGTGGCAGAGCACTTATGGTTTATGACCGTGTGCAATGACGCTGGTTCACATCTCCAGACTTTACTTAACTCTTACTTTTTTTGACTGATTTCGGTATATGGCCTTTTTTTTTTTTTTTTTTTTTTTTTTTCAAATTTATAAAGTCCCTTTTCATTGGCTCAACGTCTATGACTTCGGTGTTGCGAGCTGGTTCGATTCTAGGTGCGGGGCGATCGATCTGACAGATAATCGTTTTACGTTGATTCTGACAATGGCGAACTTCTTCTTCTTCTTTTGTCAAAATCTGCGTGTGCTGCTAGGCGTCGCAGTCTATCAGATGATCGGCAACCGAGCCAGGGCGCGCTCAGTCGCTTCATATGCCGTGATGTTATGAAGTCTCAAGTTGTCCGTGACTCCTTCAATCCATCTTCTTCTTGGTCTTCCCCTGCCTCTTGGTGTTTCGATTTTCATGTTGTATGCTCTTGATGCTGGCATCGTTGGTTCCATTCTCATTAAGTGACCAAACCATTTCATTCTTTGCTTCTCAATAAATTTAACGATGATTATGGTTCCAATAGTTCTTGTAATCACATCGTTTCTCACTCGATCTCTTCTGGTTTTATTCGCAGCCATTCTCAAACATCTCATTTCACAGGTGGTTAGTCTTCTCTCGTGTTCTTTTGTTAATGTCCAAGTCTGACATTGATAACCTAATGTCGGTATAAAGATTGTATTTATAATTTGTAATGGCGAACTACTGAACGTAAAATTACCTAGAAAAACCAAAGAGAAGAATGTGGATGTTTCTGCCATATTATGAAAAAGATAAATAACCAACTATGTTACATCGGCAGCCGGTCTAGAGAACACATACGGGGGGTTGACACATTACATTCTAGTTTACAACTATGTCAGCCGGTCTAGAGACACATACGGGCGGTTGACACATTACATTCTAGTTTACAACTATGTCAGCCGGTCTAGAGAACACATACGGGGGGTTGACACATTACATTCTAGTTTACAACTATGTCAGCCGGTCTAGAGAACACATATGGGGGGTTGACACATTACATTCTAGTTTACAACTATGTCAGCCGGTCTAGAGAACACATACGGGGGGTTGACACATTACATTCTAGTTTACAACTATGTCAGCCGGTCTAGAGAACACATACGGGGGGTTGACACATTACATTCTAGTTTACAACTATGTCAGCCAGTCTAGAGAACACATACGGGGGGGTGACACATTACATTCTAGTTTACAACTATGCTGCCATATCTGGTTCTTTTGTCTTATATACCCGATTTCAGCAAAATTTGCATTAGCTGCCTTTTACGACATGCCTGATAAGGAAAGTGGATATCACCCCGCCCCCTAAAGTGGATATCTTCCCCCCCCCCTCCTTAAAGTGCATATCTCCCCTCCCCCCACCCCACCCCACCACCACCACCCCAGTCCTTTTCCTTCTAGAAGAGAGTATACGATATTTGTAAACGTTGTATAATGAGCACCAGCAGTGGTTAATGGGTGACTGACCGTTTTTGGTCCCTCACCATAAAACCGTAGCAT